TACCTTTGGTCGTATGTATTATTTGCAGTGCAGTTGCGCCCTATACACCAATTGTGACAGAGTGCTCACGTTCGACTAGACTTGCAACTTTTCGAGAGTCAAAACTTGCGGCATATCAGAATTGATGAACTTGAAATTCAATTGCAAAAGGGAGTGTCTCATACCAAACATACCATCATCTCGATCGTCGCCAGCACTTCAGTTCATATATTCAATCAACTCCCCTACTATCCCGATTTCAAAGGCGCATCCATTTGAGGTTTTTGAAGGTCAGTTATCACGTCGTATCAAAGGCGCATCGACTGAGAAGCCAATAGGTCTAATACCAACGACAACAATGTCATCGTAAGCAGAAGGACTTTCGTTGGAATCAAGAAACAACACGAGTCCCGCTTCTTTTCTCTCAGGACTGGGCAACCTGTTGACCTGGACAAACTTGGTTCCTTTATCCTTCAAACCCGTAGCCCACACAGGACCCTTCTGGTCGCCCACTGCAACAGATTGCAAACCAGCCAAGATATTATCATCAGTGAGCCAAATACGAATACTCTGGATTTCTCGTCCGCCAAAATTCCATTCTGTTTCAGAGTAGTGGACGCAATCTGTGGTTTGCGGATCATATAGTTCAGGGAAGTTCTTGCATTCGCACAGTTCCTCCTTATCGAAAAGAGTCGGTCCAAACGATGATTCCCCAAGTTTCGTTGTCCCGTGCCTATCGCGCTTTTCTCTGGGGTGGTTTTTGCGATCGACAAACATGGCGACGAGGGGAAGTTGTCCGGACTTTGGCGTATGACAAAAGGTTGCCTTGACCGTCCTTATAGGTCCCGAGAGATCAAGATACGACACGATCCTGCGATCGGACCTTCTGCGTCCATTGCGATGAAAGAGTTCATAGGAACTCCGTTCCCTCCCGAACACGGTTTGGGGTCCCCGGCTATTGACAATATGGGGTATACACAGTGGTGAGGAGGTCGAGTCGAGATAAACATCCTTTTCGGGACCATCTGCGAGGTTCAACTCCACACAGCTAGATGGTACAAGGTTTTCAACCAGGCAACTGTTTGGTAGGTCGTTGCCAAGAGCAGCTCCAAAGGCAGTCATCTGGGGCTTTCCGGACTCGGTATAGGACCACGCAGCAGATAGTTCACTAATGAAGCTTTTCGCTGGTGCCCATCTCTCAAGCTCGTTTCCTATCAGATGGGGTTCGCCATCCGTTCCAGGTTCTCCCGCAATTAACTGACGGCCTTTGCGAGTGAAGAAGCGGAGCCCAACGGGCTTACCATTGGACTTGTGTACCCAGCACCCGATGATCCAGTCGTCCTTATCAGTCTTGCCCTCAAAGGCGAGGTACTTCATAGTCCTTCTGCGGGGTCCTATAACGATTCTCTTTAATCCGTATAGATTAAGCTCGAAGCCTCCCAGGTGAGTGTCTACACCGAAAGACTCTAAGCAGTCCAGGTCGAACTCGCGTTTTGCAAGGATGAGATGCTGCATAGCAGGTTGTGCATTTGGCTCCAAGGCCAAATGATTGGGACGTTTCTCCACATCGATGTACGCCTGCAGTCCTGGGATGGGTTTCGGGGGAGTGCAGCCACGGTCGACAAACCGGGCATGGCTCCCAGGAGGAGTTTTGCTGATGGGCTGGCAATAGAATTCTAGGCGTTTGATCGGTCAGTTAGCGGCCCAATCTACTGAGACGCCAGCCATGAAGTGGCCAGGAGGGGCTTTGTAGACTTCTGGGGTAAAGCTATGACATCGACCCAGTTCAGCTGACTGTCCGTTGGTGAGAACCAATTTCAGACCCTTGATTTTGGTCTTATGACTGTATCCTTCCTCGTACGGTATAGTCAGTTTCGTGTACACGACAACTTCTCTTATCCAGGTGCCCTTGGGTATTGCAAAACATTCGGTGCGAAAGTAACGTCCATTGTTGTAATGACGTCCATTGTTGATAGGGGAGTCGAAGGGAACAGCATGTGGGCCCATAATCTTTTCCTTTTGGTCTCGGTCTTCCGACATTGTCACTCCGAGCCTGCCCAGGGTGGAGTCCGAACCCCCGGACCAATGTGCTGTTATGACGGGTTCGCACTCTGCGAGGCTGCCGTAGTAGGTGAAGTTCGCATTCTCCCATTTTGCCGCTGGTGTTGCATCGTACAACTCAGGCGGAAGTTTGTTGTTTCCATCCCCGTTCTGAGCTATAACTGATTTTCGGTGTACATCGTTCTGATCGCGACGCGCCTCCAAATGCGGCATGTGCTCCTCCATGATCTTGTTGCAAATCTTCCAGATACGCGCTCTGTTCTGGAGAGCCGGAATAGCTGGCATGTTCCACTCAGCGCGGCCGTATTCACTATTCTTGAAAGTTTTGTAGAGGCGCTCCCAGTTGACACCGTTGATCGGGCGATAGAGAAACTTTTTGGCCCAGGGCAGATCGTCATTGAACTTTTCCAGCCAGGTTCTGTGATGCTTTAACAACTCTGGAGTGAGTGGTTGCGATTCTGAAGAGGGCCACCCGACCTTTGCAAGCTCGATCAATTTGCCCACCAACTTGTCGACATCTTCGATTTTATCTGGTGACAAAACAGCATACTCGGATCCCTTCTTGGCATTCCAGAATCCGCCGTTCTGAAGTCGAGCAATCGGAATGCTGTACACCTTTTTATGGTGGACGTAACAGACGGAGACGTAGTCGTAGTCGAGTGCCCGTACGAATCCATGCTCCACGGTGCAATGAGATTCAAGAGTCTCGTAAAGAATATTTTCCTGGGGCCAGGGCCCTGGCACTTCATTCAACATTTGGCGACAAGAATAATGCAGGGGAATGACGACTGGTTGTCCATTTAGGGGGAGTATCTATCATTGTTGGGGGTATTTTCAAACTGCAAAGCGGAAATTGACTTACGCATCATAAGTTTTATCGTCCTCGACAGGTAGTTTGCGGGTATTCTTGAAGCGATCCGTTGTCCCTTCCGTGAGGCGGGAATGACGTGCGTCTTCATGCTCGTAAGACAGAGACATCGTTGGCCTAACGCTGTCAATAACTGGATAGATCTCGCTCGATAATGTGACTTACAGCCCGCCTTTCGTGTTGTAGATGATGAGCCCGACGTCTGCCAGCCATTCTACCGTACTCGGTTTAACGAGATGAGGAGAGTAGGTATCAGCACTTGAGGCATTCCATTCCAGACGTCCGGTTGGGGCACCGCAGATAGCGCAGAAACAATGACTTTTCGTCATCTTGATAAGAGTGTATCGAGATTTGTGAGTGACAATTCTAGGAGTAATTTCGCAGGCTGGATAACACCACTGGGGCGCGGTGGGGTTCTTGTACAGTACTTGAAACTCCAACACTGAAACAAGGGACGCGTTGAGTGGCAAGTAAAACGCGTTGGAAAGGCGGGGGTGGAACAAAGAACTACTCCTACTTAGACAAAAAGCAATCAAACATAACTCGCGACGACTGGCTTTCTACGCGTCTTCTCGCGACAGATGACATCATGCGGGCGTTTTATCTGCTGACATACATGAAAATGGCCCGACTATTGAACTTTGTCTCCCTCCAATATTATTTAGAACAGTGGTTTGATTCTGAGCCCAGACTCAGAGTAACTAACATGTTTAGTTTCCAGGGTTCATTATAGAGGGGCACAAGTTTTGAATAGTAGTTCAGCGATTTCAAAAGTTACAGTCCGGTTCAACATAAAAGACGTTATGAGCGATAAAAGACGTTCATTTTGTGATTCTGACCACTAGTTATCTCCTCAGTTAACAACTTAATTAAAGCTCAGCTTTGACTCTGCTGCCACTAACAACTAAACATGTGACTATGCCAGTGCCACTAACGGCTTCTAGCTCCTAACGGAAAATACTTTCGCCGATCACCAGGTCATAATTTTCTACTTTTTATGAATATCAACCTTTCAACAGAGTTGTGGACCGATTACATGGAATAGTCACAGCAACCCAATTTCTCCCAAATTGATCACGGAGCGTCACATCTCCGGTTGCACATTTTGATTTTTTGTGTCGCACTCAGTCAAAATTCACCATGGGTCAATTCAAGCGCCATGCACAATCACAACCAAAGCACGGAAAACCGTTATCCAGCGGTGCATCCAAGGCACCAATCCCACCACCAGTCAACCGTCCAGGATGGAGTGGACCAACATATCTACACAAAAACCCCAAAAGGAAGCCTGCAGCAGTGAAGGAAAAGACCCAAATACCGCAAATCCAGAGTCTATCTATTGAACATCAACAACTCATTCTCGACACGATCAGAACTTCATTTCCTGCAGTGGATGATTTCAGTACGTTGACACCAGTGCTACGTGAGGTCAGGGAAGCCCTTGAGCAGAAGGACTACAGCAAGGCTTTCGGAAGTGAGGAGTTCAAGGAGGCTTATACGATTCGTTGGAGTCCAAGTAGAGCTCTTACTGCTGCGAATGTGCTGGCTTGGATTTGCAGTGAGATGAGCGAGGCTGCGTGGGTTCAACAGTTCCTTCTGGGTGAAGAGCCATCCAAGATCGCCTGTATTGGGCGAGGAGGATCTGACTTGTTAGCATGCGTGACATTGCTGAAGCACTCACACCAAGGCAAACTCGATGAGATCCGTCAGTCAGAATCAGCTTCTTCCGACGCTGATGACAAGGCCAATGCTCTGTTTGATCTCAGCCTAATCGATAACCACGATTGGTCAACCATTATCACAAAACTACAAAATACTCTCACAGCTCCTCCACCTCTTTCTAAATACGCAACCGAAAAGGCCAAGGCTGCAAATGTCTCTGCTATCCCACCCCAAGTCTTGAATCCAACACTCAGCCAGCTCAACATTCTCGAAAGCGAAAACACAACTCTGCAAGGGCCCAATCCGACATTGATCACCCTCTTCTTTACACTCCACGAATTCTACTCGATCTCAATATCCAAGACCACAGCATTCTTAAAGAGACTGACTTCAGAAGCTCCTAAGGGGAGTCTATTGCTTATTGTAGATGGCCCTGGAGCCGAGGTCGCACTACCAAGCAAAGGGGAAGGGGAAGAGAAGAGATATCCACTCGAGTGGCTACTTTACCAAGCTCTGCTACCACCCAAGAGCAAGGATTCAGAGGAGGAGGTACAGCCAGCTTGGAAGAAACTTATTGAAGATGGCCATGAAAAGGAGTATAAGTTGCCTGCGGGATTAAGATATCCAGGAAGCTTAGAGAATACCCGATTCCAGGTGCATCTACTGGAGCGTCTATGATAGCAAAGTTTATTTTATGAATACCCGAGTACTGGTTCCTCTGTGTCTTATTGGTTGTGTTTGCCCAGTGATTACCGTGCTGCTGACGCTAGCACTGTGCTGTACTTCAGCTTTTCGACACACAAGCCCTTGACCGAACTTACTTGTTGAAATACTCGCTCTTGGACTCTGAAAAACCTCTTCACATGGGATCAGCTTGTCCGGGCCCATTATGAGCGATCCACAGATTCTCCAGTATAGCTCAGTGGAGTTAGACAATGCATCCACCGAGATCCGGCTCCTGGACCTTCATCCGCCCCAGATAGGTGAGGTCGACGACCGGGTCGCCTCAAATTGGAACAAGCCACTTATTTGCCGCCTCTATAAGACCTGTATTACGGATCCTTGCCCTTACAAAGCTCTTTCCTACGTATGGGGCGAAGGCAGGAAAACTGAATCAATATGGGTTGTCAGCTCACCAGGGAAAAGCGGGGAAGCCAGCATTCCGATCACAGAGTCACTTGACACTGCACTTAGACACCTTCGCAAACCTGACGAGACCGTCACATTATGGATTGACCAGATCTGCATTAATCAGGCAGATAACAAGGAGAAGGGCGAGCAGGTCGCCATGATGGGTAGGATCTATTCAGAAGCCACACAAGTCATAGTATGGCTGGGCCCAGCAGCTGATGGCTCAGATGGCTTAATGAATGCTTGGCAAGACGTTGGTCAGAAAGCACGGGACTTCGGCCTTGATAGTTATATGACACCGCAAGGATTCCATGCCATGTCAGCAATCATGAGAAACGAAGACCCGACCGATGAAACGACAAGGCGGTTCCAAGTCTTGCTCCAACATACCGTGGGTATACTTGCTCCTCTACTGAGAGACATCGCTTTGAAAGCTTGGTTCGAAAGACCGTACTTCTCACGCGTCTGGATCATACAAGAGTTCTGCTTATGCCCAGACACCGTGTTCGTGTGCGGCACGAGAACAGTTGCAGTCGAACTTATCAAATTGGCAGTGACAATCCTCCAAATGGTTGTCAGTAACATGCTTGATGGACAATTCCCGAAACTTCAAGAGCCTGAACTCCTGTCTGAACGATTGGCAGATATTTCTGAGGAGCCTATAACGCGGCTGTTTTCTTGTCGTACACGTCAACAAAACGGTCGCGGAGATGAGTTGCATATGCTACTACGCAGGATGTTTGTAGGTCACGATACACGCGCTACTCAACATCGTGATCGCGTTTTTGCACTTCTTGGTCTTGCTGTTGACGTGGAGGAACTCGGTATTCAAGTTGACTATGAGTCTCCTACCGAGCGCGTTCTAGCGCAAACGGCCAGGGGACTTATTGAGAAGGCTGGAAGGGTCGATATACTCTGCTGTTCCCAATTCCCAAAGCTACCGGATTTTGTTGGTTTGCCCTCGTGGGTTCCTGACTGGCGATCGAACTTGCGACCCTCTTTTTACAACATCAATGAGCGAATGAATAAGCACATATTTTTCGCATCAGGCAACAATAGCATCGTTGAAATCGTCAAACCCACCACAGAGAGTCCATTTCTTCTTGGCCTTCGCGGTTACACGGTTGATGTGATTGACAAAGTAGCCGAAGGCGAAGGTTGGATAGACCTTTCTTGGGATCCGGCTCGGCTTCTAAGCTTCTTGGCCCAAGTAGACGCGTTGTGGCAGGAAAGCATGGAAAAGCCAATCGTAATTGACGGCCCAACAGAATCGCGTAAGGTGGAAGCTAGATGGCGTGTCCCGATTGGCGACTTGTATAAAACAGAGGACGGGGATGAACACAGAGCGACTCCAGATATAGCCAGATCTTACCGCCGATGTGTGCAAGAACTAAAAATGTTCTACCAAATGACTCTGGGGGAAGATGAATTGCAAGACATTGAAAATTGGGAAACGCCTCGGGATGAAGATAAAAAGATAAACTATGACTGGGATATGAGGAAAATGGAGGGTAAAAGACCGTTCCTAACACAAATGGGTTATATAGGAATGGGGCCTATTCAAGGAAAGCCTGGTGATTTAGTGGTTGCCTTTTGCGGTGGACACATTCCCTTTGTACTACGGCCCGAGCCAGATGGGCAAGACATGTTTTCTTTTGTGGGCGAGGCTTACTGTGACGGGATCATGGACGGGGAAGTTACCACGAAGGAGAAACAGACATTCTGGTTGGTCTAAAATGTGAGACTAGACTTTCAGCCTGGGAACGGTATTGGCACAAGGTTCGCAGAAAAGAGGCCCATTGACTTTGACTAACGTCGTCGTGAAGTAAGAAACACCAACAGCGCTTGAGGATTCCTCGCTGGCGCTCTCTGCGCAACGGGAGTATAGAGCAACGTAAGAGTGCTTTGATCAACAAGCGGGTTTAGCTCAGTTGGGAGAGCGTCAGACTGAAGTTAAACTTCAATCACTATCATTCGATATCTGAAGGTCGTGTGTTCGATCCACACAAACCGCAGTTCTTTTTTGCCTTCATTCACTCTAGTGGGTGGGTCTGCTAACCATTGACTTTTTTGCGTGTGTGGATGATCCACAAGGAGGACATGAGCTGGAAGCTACCCTATATACACCACAAATGGAATAAACGCAATAAATATCCTGCCTGTCTGTATCTACTATTAAGAAGTAGGAAAGAGCTATCCTAGATTTGATTTAGTTTATTTGTCTTTAATCTTGGACCAGTCCATCAATTGCGTAGTCACCACCAAAGCATTCAGTCGGGAACTTATCTCATCAAAAGATGACCGTCTGTTCAACACCAAGAATTGTCACGGTTGCCACAAGCTCAAGCCACAATCATGACATCACCCACACTAAACACGTCGTCGCGTCGTGTTCGCGCCTTGCATACAGTACAGCCGTATCAATTGAGCTTTGCTAGTCGCATGTAATTTGCTCTTGTACCGACAGTAAACTCCTATTTCAGAGCCACACTGTGTAATGCTCACATCCCCCAACCTTCATATTGAACGACAGTCATTTCAGGTACATCAAGCTATAGCTAAGGTATCCACACAAGCTCTTGTCTTAGGATGGCGGTCAATGACGCATGTTTCTGGAAAAACGGCTTGTCGATCGGGGATTTGCTGGTCCAGCTGAGACATACAGCCCTACCAAAGCTTTCATCAACTCTCAGTGGCCCAGCTGTCTCAGTGCCCCTCATGCACATCTCATTCAGCTGCTTACTTGCCGACGATCTGAGCTCCATTTACCAGAACACTGGGGAAGGTCTCGGAGTGTAAACTCCTTCCAATTGGCGGAGGAATTGAGTGCTGATGTAGGCGTTAAGATTTGGAAATACCATCGTCTCAGGGTTCTGCAACGAGACGCTGACATTTGTGAGACAGTAACGTTCTTGATGGAGTGCATATGGCGGTCAGTTGTCTTCGAGTAGCCATTGGACATTGCTGTACTGCAATATCAAATACCGGTTATAGTTGCACAGAGGAGATGGACTCGAAAGACCCAGTCTTTGATGCACAACACTGGACTCGGCAATTGGATCCATCCCGCAGTGAGACCGTCGATCGTATGGCGGGAACCAACAAGGTCGCTGCTCATCATCGCACATCTCTCTGCCGTGTCTCACAGGTTCCGCATGTGAAACCAGACTTGGGACGAAGGCTTCTGTCGGGATGCCATTTGCTCAGACAGAAGAGGGGGTTGTGAGACAGGTCAAAGCAGACATCAAAGCAGACAGCTTCACGTACACGTTCGACAGGTATTGGCTATTGGAACAATGGAGAAGATCCTCACTCAAGTATAAAAGAGTTACCATTCTCCTCCAGACTTCTAGAACCATCATCCTCATCTTACAACTCTTCACCAACACTTAAACATCTCCTTTAACACAATCAACATGGGTAGACTTTCCAACGGCGAATGGCTCCTTGTCGGTAACTCCATCTGGAGCGACGACAACGGAACAGAGTTCCGCATGCAACAAGATGGCAAGGTCTGTGTCTACCACGGTGACTACTGTGCCTGGCAGAGCACCCCAGAGCAGAACTGGGAAGCCCACGGCATCAAGATGCAAGAGGACGGCAACCTCGTTATCTAGCAAGTCCCAATTCTCATATCTCACAGTAAGATCACTACTAACAACATGTTTTCAGCGACAACTCTGGCACTGGACATGCTACCTGGCACACCGACACTGCCAGCCCCTCAGGCAACCACACGACTACTCTTGTCGTTCAGGATGATGGCAACGTTGTTTTGTACAACGAGGGAGGCGTCCCCATCTGGGCTACTGCCAGCAACAAGTAGATAGCCATATAGTATCTGGGATGCTTTGGCACTTTACTGCTGATGGAACAAGAACAAATAAAAATATTCATAACATTTGCTGGCATTCCACATCGTGGTAGAGTTAACGCAGCTGTGAAGATAAATCCATTGGAGCAATTCTTTTCATTTCCGTCTGAGATTGTGCTCTATTTCAACGTCGTGATGATTTTCAGCTGGTGTGCTTCCGAGCTTACAATAATAGGTGACATCTCGAGCCAAACTCTTATCCAATAACAAGGCAAGATGGCCGAGCGGTCTAAGGCGCTGTGTTCAGGTTCTACTCGAACTAGTAACGATTCGCAGTCTCGAAAGGGGCCTGGGTTCGAATCCCAGTCTTGTCAGCTTTCTTTTTGCACAACTTCACTCTCATTAGCGTCACCACTCCCGACAGCGACATCGCTGCACTAACTCTCTTTTTGAGTTTCATCCCATAGGCCTTTCTTCCCCTTGCTATTACCGGTGTACCGGTCGAAAGATGGCTGGAAACCGTTGGACCAAAACCTCCACAAGTCCCCTTCTTTCTATTGGAGCGCTTTTCAACACACGGGGGTACCGGAGCCGAAAGCTTCAAACCGCCGATCCTTAACAAATCCAGGTTTCCCCCGCAGAACCCCTGCCCCCACGGGATGCTTGTTCCTTGTTCTACCCCAGATTCTCATGGCCGAGTTTATTCAGAAATCCACGAGTTACAGCCATCCTCGGCTACGGCACCGACCGATCTGCTGGTTGTTGGCTGATTCTAGCTAATACCGAACTTTTGGTCCTAGTCTATTGCTTGGCTCTCCACGAGTATATAATACGCAGTGTAACCTCTGGGGTTGGTTTGAAACTTTGTCTTCTGCAGTGCTGTCAATCTTCCCAATTGTTACAGTAGGCACCATGGCTGACAACAAGAACGATGCGTCTTTCGGAGACGAAAAGGCTGATGTTCTTCATCGAAATCTGACGCCTGATGCGCCACCCGAGGTCATTGCCAATGAGATTGCTCACGAAGTTGAGAACCACAAGTTTTCGCCATGGACCAAGTCTATGTTCCAGCTTTACGGCGTTCTCTTCGTCGCGTACTGCTGTGGTTGTCTCAATGGTTACGATGGTAGTCTGATGGGTGCTCTTAACGGCATGACATCTTATCAACAAACCTTCAACATGTGAGTCGCTTCACAAAGCTTGCTTATCACCATGCTGACCCTTTTAGGAAAACCTCGGGCTCGTCTACTGGAATCGTGTTTATGATCTACAACGTTGGCAGTGTTGCTGCTGCTCCTACCGTTCCTTTCGCCACTGACATGTTTGGTCGCCGAGTCGGTATGATCACTGGTGCTATTATTATCATCATCGGTACTTGTGTCCAGTAAGCAGATGAATCCATACAGACGAACCCTCACTAACCTCGCATTCAGGGCTACGGCGAATACTATGCCTCAGTTCATGGGTGGTCGTTTCTTGCTCGGTTTCGGTGTCTCTTACTGTTGTATCGCTGCTCCTACTTATGTCAGTGAGCTTGCTCATCCCAAGGTAAGAAACACTGAAGAACATCTATCCACCATCAATTACTGACAGGTTTTCAGTGGAGAGGTACACTCACTGGTTGCTACAACTGCATGTGGCCCGTCGGAGCTATCATTGCCGGTTGGGTGACATACGGAGCCGCGTACATCCCAGGTAACGACGGATGGAGAGTTCCAGTTTGGAGTCAGCTTGTCACATCCGGAATCGTCGCCCTTGCTGTTTTCTTCCTCCCCGAATCTGTAAGCAAACCACATATTATCAATTAATCGCCCACTAACATCAATAGCCCCGATGGTTGATCGCCCACGACAAGCACGAAGAAGCCGCCAAGATCCTCGCCAAGTACCACGGTGAAGGCTCCGTCGACCACCCCATCGTGCAACTCCAAATGAAGGAAATGATGGCGCAAATCTCCAGCGAAAAATCTGAACAGCGATGGTGGGATTACCGTGAGCTTTGGAGCACGCACAACCACCGTCGTCGTCTCATCTGTGTTCTCGGAATGGCTATCATGGGTCAAGCATCTGGTAACTCTTTGTCCAGTTACTACCTGGTTACCATGATGAACACTGCTGGTATCACAGCTGAGAAGAAGGTCCTTGCTCTAAACGCTGTGAACAGTGTTCTTGGTCTGATTGGTTCTTTGATTGGTGCTCGTCTTACGGATAAAGTTGGTCGTCGACCTCTTCTTCTCTACAGTATCGCTTTTTGTTCCGTTATCTTTGCAGTCATCACCGGAACCTCCAAGATGGCCGTTGACGACGAATCCAACACCAACGCCGCCAACACCACCATCGCATTCGTCTTCCTCTTTGGTGTCGTCTTCTCCCTTGGTTGGACTGCCCAGCAGAGTATGTACATCGCCGAGACCCTCACAACCTCTACCCGCGCCAAGGGAACAGCTCTTGGAAACTTTGCCTCCAGCTGTATTTCTCTCGTGCTGGCTTACTCTTCCGGCCCTGCCTTCGAGAAAATTGGTTACTACTTCTACCTTGTCTTTGTGTTCTGGGATCTGCTTGAGTTTGCGTTTATTTACTTCTTCTTCCCTGAGACTAAGGACCGAACTCTTGAGGAACTTAATGAGGTGTTTGAGGCTCCTAACCCTGTTAAGAAGTCTCTGGAGCCTAGGAGTGAGGAGACTGTTAGGGCTACCATGGGAGGCAATGAGCCTAAGACTTTTGATGCTTAGATACATGTCTTGTTTAATTACTAGACGGGTAGATTCTCTGCTAGATGTTGATACTCTGCATCTTTATCGTCAAGACTATATATAGTATTAATTCACCTCTGGTCTCTGAGCCACTGGCGTTCAAAAAGGTGCATCTGTGTTTTGCTACATCGTATCACATGTTGAAGAATGACTTATTGCCGACTGTACGGAGGATTCACCAGGATTCAAAATGGCACGATCAGGTTTGTTGACAAACGAGGTGGTATTTGTCAGATTCTTGGCGCTTCCTGCAATGAACCGGGGTCGGGGCAAGGACATCAAAACGTCAAACAAGATTTGTGAATAACAAAGCAGTACCTACAACAGAAAGTATGAAAATCAACGCTCAAACCAAAGATCTTGTTAAAACAAACAATTTAGATATATGATCTTGTGTTCGACGTCGAAATACAGTTTAAGTTCTGACCACACCTCAAAACCACGACCAAATTCGTGTTCGGCTCCGGTATCCCCGACGAAATTATTTTCGTTCCCCGTATGATCATCCCGGCCCGTTCTAGCCATATTACCCCGACTATTATACCCCGCTTCTTGGCCCGAAGATCATGTGCGATGCTCGTAAAAGGAAGGTTCATTTGAAGAAAATCAAGGTCTCCAAATTGGTGTGTCATTGTCACAGCAAAATGAAGCAAACTCCAATGTCGATCATAGCACTATACGATCAGGCACCATGTACCGTCTACCCTTTTCATACAATACAATCACGTAAATGAAGGTATCAGGTACTCAGATCGACGTGATTCAATATGCAGATGGGCTATTTGACTTTCATATGCCGTATTCTTGCATCCGAGTATTTGCATCCGAGTATTCCTAACTGAGAATCACCGCCGATTATAAAAAGTATAAGAAGATGCTGTTGTCTAGACCTTCTAGTGTCGTCTTGGCTCAGACTTTAGCTGCTTCAAGTGACGACGTTGGTCAATATGCGTTACCTCTCTGCACTCTTTGCTGTGCTTACAGCTAGTACGGTTCGAGCTTCTGCTGATATTGTCTCCGGTGCGACATGGACCGCAGTAAGAACAGCCTCGACAACTGACGTATCTTGGCGTGGTGCTAACCGTTCCAGACTAACACTGGCGAACATGTTCAAGCACATGGTCACGGCCTGATGTGGGTATCTTCCTTTGCAAGTCATTAGAGTGGTATTGACCAGATATAGTGAGGTTGACGGAACCTACTACATGATCGGCGAAGACAAAACCGACGGCACCTTCTTCCAAAACGTCAACTGCTACTCTTCCACCGATCTCGTCGAATGGACATACCGAGGCGCTCTTCTCTCCCGCACCGTCGAAGCAGGAGATCTCGGCCCCAACCGCATCGTCGAACGACCCAAGGTTATCTACAACGACGACACCGGTAAATACGTCCTGTACCTACACATCGACAGCTCAGACTACAAGGATGCTCGAGTTGGTGTAGCTACTGGTGATAGTGTCTGTGGAAAGTATACCTACCATCGCAGCTTCAGACCCCTTGGAAAGCAGAGTCGTGATATGGGGCTTTTCAAGGACGATGATGGGTCTGCTTATCTCATGACGGAAGATGTAAGTGTTAACATCTCAGGTGTGATGGTGGAAGCTAATGCAAATATAGCGCGAGTTTGGTACACGAATTATGGCCTTGTCGGACGATTATCTCAACGTCACCGAGATTACATATGAATGGGAGTACTTTGCTGAGTCGCCTGCCATGCTGAAGCAGAACGGCTATTACTTCATCTTCGGTTCTCATTTGACTGGATGGGATGCCAATGACAACGTAAGATTCTAAAACCCGCTTCTAATCGTCCGACGTGATGCTAACAGCAATGAATAGGTCTACAGCTATGCCAAGTCCCTATCCGGCCCTTGGTCAGAATGGACCGAGTTCGCACCCAAAGGATCAAAGACCTTTCAATCCCAAGTCAGCTACATCCAACCACTCGGCAACAACAGTGCAATCTACATCGGCGACCGCTGGGTCTCTACCAACCTCGTCGCTAGCACCTACGTCTGGCTACCTCTCAAGGTCGAAGGCACCAAGGTCACGCTCAACTGGTACGACTCCTGGGCACCCGACGTCTCAAAGGGTACATGGGCCGAAACGAAGACGACAAAGCTTGAAGGCGAAGACGCCGCGCTGGCCAACGACGCAAGAATTATCTCTTGCAGTGAGTGCAGCGGTGGCAAGGCTGTTGGATATATCGGCGGCGATAAGAAGGGTACTATTACGTTCAAGGGTATTAAGAGTTCTGGTGGATTGAGCACTATTGGTATCAAGTACCGAAATGGTGACACTGGGTCTCGTTACGCAACTGTTTCTGTTAATGGCGAGAAGCAGAAGCTTGCGTTCTTGTCGACGAGACACCTTTCTCAGACTGGAGTTAGTACTGGATTCTTTGATTTGGAAGAGGGATCGGATAACACTATTGTTATTTCGAATGATGATGGTTGGGGTCCTGATGTTGATGCGCTGTTGCCGCCAACAGCGTAGTGCGAGGTTGGTACATGTCGAGATGGGATACCATAGCTAGTCAAGTCACCAGTTTCAAGACAACAATTGATCTTTGCAGACAAAAAGAAAACCAATGAATAAAATGTTAACATCAATTCCGCTGTGCGTTCAAGCATCAAAAAGGCAAAAGAGAGGGCTCAACCGGGGATTGAACCCGGGACCTCCTGCATACATGGGAACCCAAAGCAGGAATCATACCGCTAGACCATTGAGCCAGTACATTTTAAGATGCACTTGTGGCAAAGAAACAGAATTATATCGTCAAACCCTTCATTGTATCATAGAAATAATGCTTCGTTGCATAATCTGTCATCTGAACTAAATCTCTCTCAATAGATGCGAAGGCTTGGCAAAGCCAGCGTACGCTTACTCAAGGTACTCTTGCTGGGTGGCGAGCTAAGTGGTGTGTCCTGATACCTGTTCTTTGATCAGAACATGCCGAACAATTCTCCTTGTAGGTGGACGATCATCTGTTCAATGACCCTCTATGTAACTTCGACGCGAACAATTGAATTGAAGAAATCCACCTTCATTCAGCCGTCACCACGCTGGATGTACATAAACTGAGATCGGCCTTGTGCCTTGTCTTATACAGACCATTTGTCTTATCATTGCTATCGTCTGTATTTTGTGCTAATTTCAGTGCCATATCTCTACTTCACCACAACACGTCACCAGCCCATCATGACTAACACACCAACGAAGAAGCCAACTCAGAGAGACCCACGCAGACGACGCAGAAGAAAGCGACGTGTAGCTCAAGCGCAAGAGAAGAGACCAATACAGAGGCGACAGACACCACCACCGATCTCGAAGCACCAGATAAGACCATCAAGCCCAACCAAAGCCTTTGGGCCCAACCCTGGCTGGCTGTACATCTCACCCCAGTGCGCCGAGTTCCTATCGCAAGTGCAATACGAGGTAAGAATCAAAGGAAGTCGCCATAGATTCACGATGTTCAAGGATGCAAGTGAGCGTGACATCTGGCCAGCCCTGAACCTAAGAAAAAGCGTCCATAGGTTGGTTTGGTCGTAGTAGACACAGAATACTAACTACAAATTCATTCCTATTTGGTGATCCTTTTCCTGTGTAGCATTTGAGGCCCACCTTGCCATGGTGTTAGGTCTAGCTGTAGAAATGCCTCAAAGCGGCCTGAACAAACCAGAAGGCCTCAATTAATCACTCATCCTGCCTAATGACGTAGGTAACGTAAATAAACCACTATGCAGGTCATTCATGCACGATAAAAAAAATTCTTTCTGGAGTTGTGACTCAAGTGACAGGCGGTGAAGTTGAGGGCATGACCACTAGCCAACCCCGCTACTCGTTCACATGCTAATATTCCCCCACAAAAAAGTAGGATAAAAGCCACGAACAACATGACAATTTGTGAATTCTTTGTTCTTCACTCTATCTTCTCTGTAAAAGAGTTAAGATGTTTGTGTTTACTACTACCGATATGTCGGTAAAATGAAAGACCTTTTGCAGTGGCTTCCTTTGTTGGACAGACCATTGATATCATTAGTTTCTCTCCCAAGCACCTTCCGGCCAGGACCTCCCCAGGAATGTTTAGATACGGAACCATTGCCTGTCATTTCTCAATCTTGAGATAGATGCAGGACAAATGTCGCTGAACCGGACACCATGCTGTACCATGCCACTGAGATGTGGTTTATGGATAAGGTTATGCTGAATTCCTCCATGGAATTACGATATACCGCTTGTGGGATTCTTACACCTTCAAACTCCAGTATAGATTCGTTTAAGCATTTAGAATATTGTTATACGGACCCACGTCGAGGCGATACTCAAACTGGAAATTCCCTCTCGCTCGTACTTCATCCTTCAATAGACCACCCATGTCACGTTTCGTCCAAGCCCGATTGCCTTCTATCCCGGACAGTTTCACGGCATTCATATTCCCACCTTCGAAGTCCACGATACATAGAATTACTTGGCCCGTCTACGATAGTCCCATGGATATCAATTCCGACAACTCCCACAATGAATGAGCTACCAGGCGAAGGATGTCAAGCAGGCACATGTACATTCTAGTAAGTATATATATCGCCTGTTCACCGCCAACTACTAACACACAGTCCAGACAACAGCTCGACTCGACGACACCCCGACGACCCGAATTTCTCGACCGGGACGCATAGGAGCCCGGTTTGTCGCTGACGATTGGAACACCCGACGACGACCGAATGAGGGGGGAAGGAACAGGAATTGCTGGATCGGCGAACGAACGAAGATTTCGATTAATCGGCAGAACGACGACATGAGCAGGAAAGGACGAGGGGCGACGAACCGAATCGAGCTTGAGATTTCGATGACCGAGGACGATGAGAGGATGGAAGGAAAAGAGCAAGGATGGAGAAGGATAACGAATTGGGATTACACGAACGATATCGACGACTCAACCGATTTTACGTACCGAGCACGACGATTTGTTCAAACGTACCGATCATATATCGCCATTCGTTCGACGACACACGATAGACTATCATACCCCGATGCAGCGACTAGGAATGGGACAGCCATGAATGGGACAGCCGATGATACTGGGGCACGGACGGATGTGGATATGGACTGGAAGGAAGATCGGAATGGAGAGGCTAATGCGGTTCGATAAGAGAAGGTTCAATACAGTTATATAAGAATGAAAGGGACTCGATTAATCATCAGGATACGCACCCAATGGTTCTCACTTTTTCTGAAGCATCATGACTCCTTTGCCCACACAGGACCTTTTTATGTTCAGCCAAAACTTGATGTTAGGGCAGGGCAGAAAAAGGTTCTGTGTAGGCCGAGGAGTCCTGGTGCTTCAAAGACGGTGTCAACGTCGAGGAAGCTGATCCTGATGGTTGACTTGTTGACATTGAAAAACGTTCATTTGATATATGTGCGACATGTGACGTCAATTAAGTATCCATGGGTGTCAAGCCTCGTAAAGCCTCCCACTCCTTCTCTGTCATCCCAAGCTCAATCAAATCATGCCATCCACGATTCTGCCAGATGGTTTGCCTTCTCCTACCCTCCAGTACAAATCCCATACTCTCATACAAATGAACAGCCCTTGGATTGTAGGAAGCCGTTGTGATACCAATAGTGTGCAAGCCAGCATGCTTAAAGCCCCAGTCCAGCATCCAATTAATAGCTTCCCTCCCGTACCCTTTTCCTTGGTGCTCCTTCAAGATTGTAATGCCGATTTCAGCATTGCGGTGGTGCATGACCGAGGGTGAGATGCCGCCCCAGCCGATGCACATTATCCCGATCGGTTGCAATGTATCGTTATCATCACGAATAAAGATGACGACGCCTAGGAGGGAGTCGCAGACAGATTGGATATATGAGTCGCACTCCTTTTGGCCCTTGGGATGTAGGATTGTAGGTGCAACGAGGGCCTGGATGACGGGATCTTGAAGGATTTCTAAGGCGAGTGGTTGTAGTCTTGTATCTGATTTGTCTGCTTTAAGGAATTCCAATCGTTCGGACTTGAAGGCGTTGACGATATCCTTTGTAGTGTAGTCCATGTTGACCGTCGGATTGGAGGGTTTAATTGGATAATATTCTCAGTGATTGATAGATAAATTCGACTGAAAGGCTGACGATTATATATGTGTTGCATGCCGCATATTTCAGCTGACAAGAACTTCATGACATGACATTTCACGCTATTCTCAACTTGGATGCCGGATGAGTCATGCCGGCAATCCACTTGGCGCAACACAATAATCAAATGCAACACAATCAAAAACTAGGTGTCGAGAGATGAGATGGATTTTGAATTACACAGGAACTCTTCCAGAGCGGGTATATAAATACAAGAAGTCTTAGACTTTACCCAATATTCCTTCAGCAGTCTTCAACTTGGCGCAAACGGCAAGACAACCTCCAAACAGACACATAACCCCACTAAATACCGAAACCTCAAAGAATCCTCCATATCGATCAACAAGTGCACCGTTGACTGGTGGCCCGATCAGAGCAGCGAAAGAACTAACAGCCAGACCCATGCCCATGTAAGCTCCACTATCGCGGGGATCCTTGACCACGAGGCCAAAGGCTGCCGAAGCACCAGAGATGATAGTTCCTGAAGTGAAACCAAAGGCTGCTGCGTATACCACTAATGCTGCGGTTGTCTTGGTCTCGTTCATGCAGAGGATGACAACGCCGGTGCAAAGTCCACCAATAGAGTAGATGTTTAGTCGGCCGTACTTGTCTGCGAGTATTCCTGGAATGACTCGGCCAAAGGTTGATGCAGCGTTGGTGATGGCGAGGAAGTAGGAGGCCAAGGTGGGATTGACACCACGCGACACAGCATATGAGGGGATGAAGAACAATGGCGCAAACATGCCAATGAAGAGAAAGAACAGTGAAGTAATAATAAGGACAAACAAAGGATCCTTGAAAGCATCAAGCCGGACAAAGGAACTCTCTCTACTCGGCAATCGAGGTCGAACAGCGATACAGGAAAATGACATAAGGGGAATCATGACGAATCCCATGATACGGATTGACCAACCAAATCCAAGAGAAGAGTCATTTAACATCTTGGATAGGGCAATCGGAAAGACGATACCACCGATGGATGAGCCTGAGACAGCTAGTCCAAAAGCAGCAGCTTTCTTCTTGTCAAAGTATTGAGACAGAGCTGCGAAGGCGGGGATTTGTAGAAAAGCCATTGCAGTGCCCATTAGGACACCTTGAGCGAGCATAAAATGCCAATACTTGGTGCAGAGGCTGGTCATCATTGTTGCGAAGACATACATGACAGCAGCTGGTCGAATCACCTGTAAGCATATTAGCCACGTCTCCTAAGTAATGATGGAAGAACTTGCCCAAGAACCATAACGATCGAACAGAGGTCCACTCAAAGCTCCAGCAGCAAATTGAATGAAAGTTGAGACCGAACCAATCCATGCAACAGCATCTGCAGAGTGCCCTCGGAGCTGGTGGGTCATATAATATTCTTGCATGACGCCGAAGGAATTGGCGAAGCCGAGACAGGAGAAGAAGATGCAGGCTGCACCTGCCGCGACGAGCCAGGCTTGTAGACCACCATCGGGGGCGGGAGAGACATCTTCTTCGGCCTTCTCAGTGCAGGGTGTTGAGGCCTTGGGGTCTGTTGAGAAGTTGCTGGGTTCTTCAATGTTTGCCTGTGGGGTATGCTTGGATGACATGGTGCGAAGTTGTTTGATTTTGAAACTGTAAGGGAATGTAGCAAATGTTTAGAGTTCTGATTAATAGCTATTGAGATGATAGGAATAGAGCCTGGAGTGCTCGAGAGATCGAATATTTTATATTCTCATCGATTGACAAATTAATAAATCCTTTGCTCTTACACATGGGCGGAATACTCAGAATTGTCCAATCAAACGCAGCCGGAATCGGACTGTAGTCGGAGATAAGAGTTGGAGTCGGTGTACGGCCGACCAAGAAAGCCTTCAGCGCAGATCTCACCTTGACTAACTATCCAATTTCCCGCTCTCATTCTTGCTTCAATTCATCACCTTAACAACAATTATCATGGAGCCAATTCGTCGTCGCCGAAGACCAGCTGTGTAAACCACTCCCCTCTGAAGACTCCAATTGATTTATCTTGCTGACTATTCGCAGTGCCTGCACGTTATGTCGCAAGCGTAAAATGCGCTGTAATCGGGAATCCCCTTGCAGCAATTGCAAGCGCTCGCGACACGGCGAATGTGTCTATGACAATCCTCTTCCACCACCTAATCCAGTTCGCAATACCAACCGGGTCTTGGCACCTGATATTTGTGGCGCACTGAATACAGCATCGTTACCAACGCCAGAAGATCAATCCAGCACTAGCCGGTCAGCTACGATCGCTAGTTTTTCGTCACCAGCGTCGACAACGCCGCATTCTGATCTTCCGGAACTTGAGGCGTTGAAGAGTAAGGTTAGGTTATTGGAAGATCAGCTAGCGAAATCTGCTACTGCGACTTCACATACGCAAGTTTCTACGCCTGCTTCGAATTTGGAGACGACTTCAACGCAGTTGGGTGGGACTTTTCATGTTCATGCGCAGAGTCAGTTTGGGGGTGCGATGGTGATACCGCGTGCAATTTCTCATAAGACGAGATTATTTGGACAAAGTCACTTCGTGACTGGGCTTCCTTTAGTAAGTATCCGATGTCGATGAATTGTTTGCACTGGGACTGACGGGTTTAGCTTCGGGATATCATGGAGATTATCGACGAGCACACGGATGAGACATCGGATCTCATCACAGGATATCAGAAGTGCAAAGCCATGGGGAAGCACATCAAGAAGCTTCGCGTACCAGTATGGCCTACGCCACTCACTACACATCTGGTTTCTCGAGCCATTTCAGACAGTCTTGTTGAATGCTACTTCGGCACGATAGAGAAGCTGCACCGCGTATTGCACATTCCGACATTTCAAAAACAGTACGATGGGCTATGGGCTTCTGACGGCGAACCAGATCGTGAGTTCCTGGTTCAGCTAAGGCTTGTGCATGCCCTGGGCGCTATAACATACGACGACAATTTCTCGCTACGAGCGTCAGCTACCCAGTGGATATACGAAGCACAAACTTGGATTTCTGAGCCAGAGTTCAAATCGAGACTAGGCATCCAGTTTCTACAGACAAACATTCTTCTTCTTCTTGCGAGGGAGACTGTAGCTGTTGGTGGCGAAACCATGTGGATAGGATGCGGTGCGCTCCTCAGAACGGCTATGTCAATGGGTTTACATCGAGATCCAACACATCTCCCACAGACTCCGACTTTTGTTTGTGAGATGCGGAGAAGAATCTGGAACACTATTCTCGAATTGTGTTTGCAGTCGTGTATGAGCTGTGGAGGTTCACCAATGATTTCCATCGAAGATTTTGACACTGAAACCCCTGGGAATTATGATGATGAACAGATTATGAGTGACAACCCGACATCCAGACCCGATGGTGTTTTCACTCAAAGTTCAACTGCGAGGGCCTTGCGAAAGACTTATTCCTCTCGTCTCAATGTTGCAAAGTTGCTCAACGATCTTCGACAGGGCGATTCATATCAAGAGACATTACGGCTGGACGCAGAACTCAAAGCCTCATACAAAGAAGCAATCCAAACTCTTCAAACCTCCAACAAAAACGGCAACTCACCGACAGATTTCGATCTTTTTGCAATAGACTTTATAATGCGTCGCTACCTCAGCGCCCTCCACTTCCCCTTCTTTGGCCTCTCCCTCAAAGAACCAAGCTACGCCTTCTCTCGAAAAATGTCCATCGAAACAGCTTTCAGAATGTGGTCCATCGGCCGCAACGACAACAGCGCCTTCGCCCGTTTCGTAACTTGCAGCACTGGTTTCTTCCGTACTGCTACTTGGTTAGCCAGTGTAATGCTCCTCCTCGATCTTCGCAACCAGGTCCAAGAAGATGATACACTCTCACCGACTCCTCTGCAACCAGATGTTTTCAACATGATGCAAGATTCAAAACCGTGGACGTTGAAGTGTGTTGAAGCTGGTGAAACGAATATCAAGGGGCACTTGATTACATGTTTGTTGCTGGCGCAGATCCGGGCTACTATGAATCGTGCGTCGAAGGAGGAGATGGCGCAGGGGATGATACGTGCGGGTGAGGAGGCTACGAGGGAGGCTTTGGGGGCGTTTGAAGCTTCTGTTGTTCCGTTGGAGCCGGATGGTGGGGAGTTTCAAGCGCCGCCGCTTGATTTTGGGGAAGATTGGGATTTGATGGTAAGTGCCCCTTCTGATATGCAATGGTCGATACTGACATTTTGTAGCTTACTGATGGATTTCTCAATGGTGGGGCGGGTGATCCCATGTCGTGGATTTTCTAAAATGGTTACTCGGGGTCTGCTAGTGACACATCTGCCGATTTTCAAAACGGTTTAGAAGTTATAGAACAGTATAAAGTGAATACAAAGCTTCTTTCATAAATTGCATCCTTCCTAAAATACTCAAAGAATAATTTCAACTTTTATATTCAGGCGAGATGGCCTGTCCAGATTTCAAAACACTGACAGTTTTCTCATCCCCCACAACCGCACAAAGCAGTAGCATGCGTCCGCAACGACACAATGAACTTATGCGTCTCCGTCCACTTCTTTCCATCCCGTTCATATTCCGTAACTTCATCAACAACATCTCCAAGCTGCTCAAATACCTCCTCCCAATACCTCTTGGGCTTGACATCTCTTTCAGACAGAGAAAAAGTGTACATGGTAAGTAACAACTTGGGAGCTAGCCGGCCAAATGCCGGAGTGCGATCAACCCACCCCTGTTCCAGACCTCGGTCTGTAACCACTTCCAAACTATGCCCAGCCCAATTTCCAGACCAGATTGGCCAGAAGGCACTGTATGCCGATTCGTACAAGGCACCGCGCCACGTTCCGTCCCTGGCCCTGTTGGTGGCGCCTATGAAGCCTTCGAGATTTTCCCAATCTAATATTTGTTGGTCGCCATTGCCGCGCCAGCAGATGAGCCAGTATAAAAGGATATCCAACGTGAGCCAACTGTGTCCATTGTGGGCCACAGTGGTTGTGTTGACAGCTTCCATACGGATGAACTCGTTGTTTGTCAAGTTACGGAGCAGCCATTTACTTCCTTTTTCAATGCTAAAGGTAGGAAAGGAGGCTATCATACTCGGGTGTAGATTCGCGGGGATGTCAGCATTGGCGATATGCTTGGTGAATGATACCCTATGAGCATCATCGTAGGCCAAGGGCGTCTGATCGAACTCTAGTACTGCTTTGTTGAATGCGGCAGTCGTGCGAGTTGTCATCCGTCTCGCTTTACGTATTTCCCGCGGCGTTTCCTCCGGGATCAAGTCGGGGTACTCCTCGTACACAAATTGTGGTAAGACTTTCAGATGCGAGCCAACATACATAACGGGAGTACCAGCCAACGAATACGTCTCCTTCCATCGGTGGTACCCTTTCTTTGTAGATTGCATAGCATGCCCCCAGAGCGTCTGAGAGCATAGACCGAAAGCGACGAAGTCATCAGGATCGAGAAGACTGAAGATGGCGGCCAGCAGTTCAGCCGGGAACCGCTCAATGCAACTTTGGCCTCGCGGAGTTACCTGAGGCGCGGTTACTCCAATTGATATAGCATCCGGGGAGTTGCACAACAGCTTGAACGCGTCAAACTTTATGTTCCAAATGCACAAATGTGGAGGAGAAAACACTTTGTCGTGATAGCGCGGAATGGGCCTGTGTTGTCGTTTCTTAGGTGCCATGAGGGTCCACCATTCGAAACCACTCAATGCTGATGGGTTCCATCCAGGCCAGTCTGAGCCGACTTCCGCGAAGGTTAGGTCTTGTTGCATTTTTCAATGATATGTTGTTTGTTGTCTGTTATGTTTTCAGACGAGGTGGGGTAATTTGATGAATGAAAACCTCAACGAATCAGAAAGTTGCATAGGTAAGTGCCACGGTAACCAATCAATTCATGTCTCAGGTTCAATGTACTGTAGTGCCAAGTTCAAAGAGTTCCATGGATATGCAATTGAGGCATGAAGAGTTGGAAGGGCCATGAGCAAAAGGAACAGCCTTTGTGATGCGGTTTTGAAAAGACTGGCTCTCGCGATGGCTTCAAAGGTGATCGCAGACAAAGAAAAGAAAAAGCAAAAAAAGTGGCAGAAGCAATAGATTATGAGTTGACAAACGGGGCTCGTCTAATTTAACTAACTCTCAAAATATGGTTTTTTGAACTGTCCGATATTAAGTGGTCGGCTAAGAAGCAGATTTTCAATAGTCTTGCTCGACTTTTCGATACTTTATATACTATCTACCTACTTCCGGTAAAGCGCACAGCTTAGCCTCAGCTGCCAAATCGCAAAGCTCCAAGTAATATGGGAAAGGTCATTTTGAAAATGCCCTGTTTGATCATTGTTTCAATTAATTGTGAGTCTATTCAGAGGTGCTGATCGAATTCATGGGACATTGGTGTGAGCAAAGATTTGACATGAGTGATTGAGGCAACGTCGAATTAATGTGTTGCGAGAAATGTACCAGCTCTGATAAACTATCGACCTTCTTTTAAATTTATCTATCGGTCAAAAATAGTTGGGGAAGATACAGATGAATATTTGAACATCATGATACACTTCCAACCCGATGTCAACCATGACTTATTTCGTAGTAAGAAAATCAGCTACCCTATTCACGAGCCAATTCCGCCAAGCGCAAGATCTATTGGTGCACAAACGGCGTTCTTGTGGATGTGTCCCATCAAAGTAACATCGTCCGATAGGTATGGATCTCGGAATTGCAGAAGTCTTGGCTCTCTGTTTTAGACTGACGGTGAGAGCGTTGAGAGAACTTCCCCCTTCTGGCGAATGCGACAAGATACCGCCAGATCTTCTTCGCATTGTCTATCAATACGGGGTCTTTCTGCTGATCTTTGAAAAGCTTGTTACTGATTATTATTGAACCCTAACATAACCCCACGAAGTCTTCAAACAGTCAACTGACCTCGTCAATAATTTATTCAAGCACTTTGTGTCTCAATTCTCAAGGCTATAATACAAACAACTATTACTCGCCCGTTTCTCTGACTAATCGCCTGGAAACATCTGATGATAATGATATTTGCGGCGAGTATTTCTAAACGGATGGTACTCTATTCTTCACGTAGCACTCGGCAACTCTCCCCTTAGGGTTTCGGCCGGTGCCGCGAGTCCCACTGATTTACCCAAGCATAAAAGACCATCCTGAAAGGAGCGTACAATTAATTACCTTAGTGGCCGTTGAAGATTTGTACAATATTGTCTAAGCGGCCGCAAAAATGTGGAGATTTCAACACGGGGCGGCTATACTGCCCACGGCAAGAAAAGTAAGACAATGTGAAATAAAGACACGTCACAGATAAAGTATTTCCTTCTCACAGACCCAGAAATTTGGTCACTTGGATCTGGAGCATTGGGTCCGTGCCGCAAAGGAACAAGGTACCAGGGCTACGGAAAACCGCTAGAAGGAGTAAATGACCCATAATCTAGCCGACGGATTCACTCTGAAACGAGAATCCATATCCGCGGGTGAAATATTGACACATGAAAAATCGGACGATGCAGGTCTTGAGTTCCAGAAGGATGGCTGACAGGGTTATGGCACGGAGTGGCGGAAAGATGGCACTAATATATTGTGGCTAGTTTCCTCTAGCACTTACTTTTTTGCTTCTCTTGTTTGGTGTTTTGCTTCTTGTTTGGTGTTTGATCGTTTCGTTACTACATTCAACATGTCTCAGTCAGCATTTGTAGGCTCGCCTCCTGCAACAGAAGACGATGAACGCATTGTCAGAGGCGTGCTGCGCATGTATGGCATGGCCAATGCAAACGTTAGTCAAGGCCTCTTCTTTTCTATCCAACGACCCGAGAACCCACCCGACGAGACGAAAGTGCCTTCGATCCTAGCGGGGATGATCATCGTGATTCTGGCGATCGTTGTACCGACTGTAGCGAGGATCATGATTCGACTCAAGGGCGCGAGAACACAGTTTGGTCTTGATGACTGGGCTATCATTTGCGCTGCTGTAAGTTCTCCTAGTTGAATGGAGGTGAGGTGTTGGAGCTAACTGTGTTAGTCTTTGGCGACGGTTTATCCTGTTCTTGTCATTGCGATGTTATTCCAAACCGGCGCTGGGAAACACACGTACGAATCCACCTACGAACAATATAACCTCTACATGTACTACTTGACAGTCTGCAAGATCATCTTTTACGTTGCTGTCGGCCTCATCAAGGTGTCGATCACGCTATTCGTTCGTCGTCTTGCCGACCGAGCTTCCAAGAAATGGAGGCTATTTGCGGATTTCTTTCTGGGCACGGTCGTTATCTACATCCTTCTCGCCATTTTCTGTAGGTCATATACTTCCCTAAATATTGTACACTACTGATCTTTCAAAGGGATGCTCTTCTCGTGCAGACCGCTCGGCTCGATGTGGGACAAAAAGTATGCTGGTTCCCTGGAGGAAGCACCAGTTTGTGTGGATTCAATCTTCCAGAACAAGTTTCTTAGCAGCATGCACGTTGCACAGGTAATTCATTGATCCCACTTAACAAGAACCAGACTAACAACCCCAGAATATCGTCCTTCTCCTCGCACCAATCGTTATCCTTTGGTATGTCAAGATCAACAAGTCCAAGAAAGCCCGCCTCTTCTTCATCTGGCTCGTCGGCGGCACGACAGTCCTAGGCGGCCTTCTCCAACAAACCATGATCACAATCACCAACGACTCATGCTGGCAATTCACATCCGCCATGCGCTGGACAGTGATGGATCTTACTTTTGGCACGCTAGCAGCGTCGCTGCCGGTGCTGGACGCGGCCATCATGGGCACCTGGAGTTCGCTAAAGACAAAGATTGGAGCGTCGGGGTCTCACTCGCGATCTCGAACGCAAGGGTGGACTGATTTGGAACATGATACCAGGAACACGACTACGATTCGCAGGGCTTCGGTGGAGGATTCGGAGTCGATTGAGAATATTATGGGGAAGGACAAGGGTATGGAGATGGGAATTTTGAGGACGGATGAGGTGCAGCTTACGTATGATGAGGAGAGTACATCGAGAGGTTTCCATGCGAGATAGTCTAGATCATTCTATTCTTGGCTTTGAGCGTTTCTTTTGTTTATTTTCTCTTCAACAATATACCTTCGATACATACAACTGATCACAAGTATGTCGCTAACCCAAACTTCAAACCTACATCTTCGTAATAAGAACCAATTAATGGCCTAGCACCTAGATCCTTCAGGATTCCCACCATAGCAGCCTTATAATAAGACCGGGGATCACAAAGTGGTCTGAGTTCGTCCCACAAGGCTCCGCCGCCCCCTTGCATAACGATCCATCGGTGATATACCACCCAATCGCAAACCCTAGACGGTCCCAATTCTTCGGCTGGATCTCCCTAAGGCAGTAAAACCTCTCATCGCCAAGCCGTAAATAAACGACTCAAGAATTTCTCCGTGTTTCCAGGTCTGTACTAACTGTTCTCGGAGTACAACCGTCTTGCCATCCACTGTCAGGAACCAACCGTCAACGGCCGTCGGAGATTTGTTAGATGGTCCACTTCTTTTTATCATGCGAAAATTCAACATGAAGGATATTCTCAGCTGTCAAGTGAGGGTCGAATTAATGCTCGCTGTTATATATGCATATAATAAGCAATTAATGTTTATACCCAAATTACCGGAACAATGGACACGATGACAGGCGATAATACCTTCAGTAATCCTCCAGTACTGGTCCCTGCTAGTCCTGTCAATTTTTCCTCGAACCAACTGCCAAGCATCCCCTTTCTGGGATCCCCTACTATTCTCCACGGCGATAATCTGGCTAAGCCCCAACCCACCTGAGCCCTTTTACGAGCGCTGAACCCCGGCCATCAGTATAAACGTCAGAATCCCCGTGGAGCTTTTTAATATTCTGCATCGAGAAATCGTCATTTTCTACGACCAGCCGCTCTTTCATATCCCAGCCCAGGAAATTTGTCTCTGGCAGCCACTCTTTTTAACTATACCCCGTCTAATTAATATTGTTCATCATGGTTCGCTTTCTATCCAACCTTACCTTTTTCTTCGGAATTGGTAGTTGGGCTTCGCCTACTCCTGAGGCCGTGGATTGCACTGGCGTGAATGCCATTAGCATGAAGTGCGCCTCTCCCGAGGTTCCTTACAAGCGCGACTTCTTTTACGTCGGCGGCCACTCTGTCAAGGCTGCCTCTGGCAACATCACCGTTGACCAAGTCTACGTCGAGAAGCTCACCCCCGCGAGAAGAATTACCCAGAAGAACCCTCTGGTTTTCTTCCACGGTGGTGGTCTCGCTGGAAGCACATGGCTCAACACCCCCGACGGCCGCGAAGGATGGGCTAGCTACTTTGTCAAGAAGGGTTATGTCATCTATCTGGTCGATAATAACGCCGTCGGCCGAAGTTCCGAAAATGCTATTTCGAGCTACCCCATGTCCTCTGGCTCTGCTTCCGAGACTGTCATGAAGTTCTTTACTTCACCCGAGAACTACGATACTTATCCTCAAGCCAAGCTTCACACTCAGTGGCCTGGCACGGGCGCTGATGGTGACCCTGTGTACGATCAGTTCAAGAAGTCTCTGATCCCTCTCACCACAAACTTTGTCGGACAAGAGAATGCTCTCCGCAAGGCTGGATGTGAGATGCTTTCTATGCTTGGAGAGAAGGCTTTCCTTGTCTCTCACTCGCTTGGTAGCAGAAACCCCCTTTTGCTGTCCAACGATTGTCCTGAGTATATCGCTGGCAGCATTAACCTTGAGGCTGCTACTTCACCTTTCTGGTCCTATGCTGAGGGACTTGGCGGCTATGCTGGTTCGCCTTGGGGTTTGACCAACACACCCGTTACTTACGATCCTCCTGTCAGCGACCCATCCGGTAAGCCTATCACTCTTCACTGCCTGCGCACCCGCAACTAACAATATTACAGAACTCGAGCATGAGTCAGTTGGAAACGAGACCCTCGCCCACCGTAACTGCTACCTCCAAGTTGAGCCCGCCCGCAAGCTTCCTCAAATCAACAAGGTTCCTTACCTTCTTCTCACTGGCGAGGCTTCCGTCCACGTCACTTACGATCACTGCGTTGTTGATTTCCTCAAGCAGGCTGGCGGCAAGCCTGAGTGGATCAAGCTTGCTGACTGGGCCATCAAGGGTAACGGTCACTTCTTGCACGTCGAGAAGAACAACCTTCAGATTGCTGGCCTTGTCCATGCTTGGATTCAGGGTAAACTGATCAAGGGCAAAGCTTAGATGCCTGTAGCTTGATTTGAATGAAAACTTTGTTGAACACCAATAAATCTTGTACTTTTGTGAAATTGGACAATGCACAAACCACACTACTATGTATGTTCTGTGTAATACATGTTGATCCGTAAACTCAATCTTTATTTCTTGATGTCGGACTATTGATTCGGCTGTGCTGCTCGGGTTGTTGGTGGCTTGGCGGGACAGTTCCCCATAAGCATCGCGCCAACTCGGCTAATCCGCCTTGGCGCCATGATATGTCTCACTCTCGCGAATATTCTCACTTGAAAGACTCTCAACCTCCATTATCTAGAATTCACATATCATATTTAAAATGCCGATCCAATTGATTCAAGCGACGGAGCAAGACCTCCCAGCTGTCGCTCGCATCGCAACATCCGCATTTCACCCATCAACAGACGCTCTCTCCCGCCGTTTATTCCCTCCCCATCTCCAACCAAAGAACATACCCGACGGCGAAGCAGCCTACGATTGGCGCGCAGCACGCAAAGCATCCAGTCTAGCATCGTCAGAATCACACCTTGTAGTAGCAGTCGACGATGAAAATCCCTATGAAGATCGTATAGTCGGTTTCGCACTATGGGACGCCCCTCCTGTTGATGGCGGTGACTCTGGTCCCAGCAAGCCAATAAACTGCGACGCGCTTGACAAAGAAGCTTTCGAGGAGATGAAGAGAACTGTCAACCAAGACGCCGCTGATACATTTGGCGAGAAAGGAATTGCTGGTGTTTGGCGTTCGTTCCACAATTCCCTCAGAATGGAAGAAATGCTAACATTTTAAGATCTCGACTACATCGGAGTTGCTCCTGGTAATCAGAGACGAGGAATAGGCAAGATGCTTCTTCAATGGGGTCTTGATAAAGCTTCTGCGGAAGGAAAAGACTGTTATTTGGTTGCTACTGAAGCTGGAAGGCCTTTGTATGTGGCTGCGGGGTTTGAAGATCTGAGGACCATATCCATCTTGGGGATTCCACATTACTCTATGATAATGAGGGCTGCAAAGTCCGAATGATGGGAGATCATCGCCTACAAATGGAGCAACTACATCAAGTAGACAGGGGAAACTGTAGAGAGCCGTGTGTATCGCGACAACCGTGCTTCGAAGAATGTTGCCATCGTGCCATGTATCCGACTCATCAAGCTTCGTTTTGAAACCCTTCTCTACCATGCAATAACTCTGGGCCCGAGTTTTCACAATCCTTTGATCACCCGAGTAATAGTACAAGAGGTTCTAAGGAAACTCAGCAAGGTTGATCCGAATTGAGTCGCCACTGGTCTGGGTTAAAGCGAGGATGCCTGACTCGGCAATTTCTCCTACTTCCGGAATGCATTGTGATTAAGTTGTAGATTCTCGAGCCCGTTGACAAAGAAAAAGCACAAGAATGAATGTAAAAGAGCCTCATATCAACGTCAAGCCTCGACCTGACCTACTGATTATCCGCCGCATCTTGCTCCATTTCGCCAGCCGTCTGAGCCACCATCATATGCTGAGCATGATCCCTCACCTGCACTAAGTCGTTCGTACTATAGGCACTCAGCCTGTCAAGGATTCGGGGTAGGTCTGTGACAGCATACGATATGAAAACAAGATCTGCAATTCTGCGACCTATCATGACCGCCAATATCGCGATGAGTACCAAAATACCAATGGATAAACTTAGAGCCATGAACAGACCTAGGAGTGTTGTGATGAGAAACATGAAAACGTCCTGGCAACCAGTGGCGGCCTGAAGGATTGGTTGTTCTTCGTGCGCAACTCCTAGTACCCAATCGTAGAGGCATGGGTAGCCTAGATATCTTGCTCGATTGCGGAGTACTTCTTTGACGAAACGAACTGCCTCATCTTTGCCTTGAGATATCGCATCCTGTGTCTGTTGTGGGGTGGCGATCGAGTTGTTTATCGGAGCTGTAGCGAGAAAGCTGGTTCCTGCGGCAGTTTCCTCATGGTCCTGCCTTTTTGCCCGGACTTGTCTCTTGTAATCTAAGCACTGTTAATCAATCATCGATGACCGGTACGGTATTAAATACCTACCTGCGTGTCCCTCCATAGCAGTGAATATTGGCAAGGCAAGCAAGGCCAACGGTACGACTTGACCAAACCCCCAATGATCACGATCACCCTCTAGCTCTGTCGTAGCATAGCGCGAGGCGAAGACTACTATAATACCATACACGTTACCGGACCATAACCAGAAAATCCTCCAGACAAACGAGCCGCGGCACTGATGATAAGCCCATTGCTCAGCTATTAGGTATAAACGAGTTCTGAGCGATTTAGGGGACTTTGGCCTGGCGATTAGAAGCTTCAAAGCCTCGAGTTGAAGCCATTTGTTTAAGAGTGCTGGCCGTTTATCTTCCAGTGTTTGATCCCGTATGGCTTTGATGGTCCTTCTTGCGGAAGTACGATGGAACAATCTCGATGACAAGTGATCATAGCTATTGTCACTGTTGTTGCTTCCGTTTCCACCACCACCTAAGGCTTTGCTGATAGCTAGCGCCTCTTGCTCAATCTTGCTTAGGGTTATTGTTGAGCTTCCGCTGCAGTGCTCGTACAATCGTTGTGGAAGTGCAGTCGGAAGCGTCTGCATCTCAATGTCTTGACCAGTCCTTTGCTGTGGAGTGTTGGAACCCTCCGCTGCCCGCGATCGTCGTCGCAGACCTTGAGTCTCTTCACCAGCCGCCTCGTCGTCTCGCAGTGACTGCTTATATAGAAGTTGCCAAATATCATAAGTGCCGAAAAGAATGGTAAAGGGAACTGGTATCGCCAAGATGCTATCAAAAAGGTAATCTCCATCAAGCTTGTAGTCCTTCAAGACACATGTGAAGTAAACATGAGATTCCATGTCCCAGGTGTAGGATAGCTGAACTATAAGCCAGAAGACAAGAATCCCTGACCCCGCCGTCATCGTGATTACTCTGAGGAACTTTGCAATATCATGGTCTCTTAAACGGTCGACGTAGAAGGGGAAACAGCCTACATGAACGGTCGATGCAAGACATCCTAGGGCTATGACGATATTGGCAGAGTAAATGGTTATTTCGCCCTGTATGATAGTCGCCGCCACTAGAATGGCGACTTGCGATACGAGTATCTGATCACTCGTTGAATGCAGAAAGGCTTTGTAAGCGTCGATCCGCTCCTTTTGAGTATTGACATCTTTGACTTTGGGGTCATGTTCATGTGATCGGCGACGGAGACGCCTGATCCCACAGGCCATGACAGCATCGCCTGTATTGAGAAGCCTCGGGGGTACCGACAGTGTTACAAAGGCGGCAACTAGTGTGGAGATTGCTACCAAGGATGTTGCGAGAAAAGCTATAAGGACCTATAGCGTATCAGTGTAAGGAACTTTGCTTCAAGAAGCTTACTCACGCCTAGTCCAGCTATATCTGCATCAAACTCAGCGTTGTCGGTGTTGTCACAGTCTACCATATTAGAGGTGCAAGGGTTAGGTGTTTTCCTTTTGCGATGGAGAGGGCAGATGCAATGGGAGTAACAATAAGCGACCGTGAAAAAGCAAGAAAGTTGAAGGAAAACTTTAACATTAAATCAGCAGCCTGATTTCAGAACCTTGGCAATCCAAACGCCTTGACTCGTCATCCTCTCCCTCAATTTCCACAGCCTGATTCCTGGTGGAGTTATCGCACGGTTCATTGGCATCGAGAGGTTGAAAAGCGACTCAGGCTTAGTCCATATAGCCGCTGTGGCGAGCCTTGGCCAATCATATACAGCACCGCATTCAGCTTTGATGCTGTGTAACGCAACCTGGAAGTTGTCTCTTACCCAGCATAGACAGGGCGCAGCGAGACACCCGAGGAGGAGGAGGAACACTACCTACCGGGAGTATGAGCAATTCTATCGAGTCAATAATCCTTTGAGATTAAAGATTAGAGATTAATGCTAAGAAAATACTTCATTTGTCAATGCATGAGTGGCCAGTCACGATGAAAATAACAGTCCAGCTGCTGAGATCCGAATTTTGCAAGTGGTTGTGAGAGCTACTTATATTCTACTAGCGTTCCAGCGGACATCGAACTCCGCTACAGTAGCTGCTTCACAGCTATCATCTTCCGTAGTATAGTGGTCAGTATGCAAGCTTGTCACGCTTGAGACCCGGGTTCAATTCCCGGCGGGAGAGTTCCAGCCACCTGCGATACGCAGGATAATCTTTTTTGCAGTTTTTGCAATTCTAACAGTTTTCCCAAACTATTCTTTTTGACGTTAGCTTTTACTCAATAGCGATGCCAATGTTGACGCTTATCACAATGCTGGTCTCACCCCATTGTACTTTGCGTCTTTGAACAAACGCGAAAACTGCCCAAAGTCCCGTTGCTAAAGAGCCCTTCATAAAGACTGTATATGACAGACTGATGCTAGTGCATCTAGCATGCATAAAGGGTCATAACGAATTTACCAAGCTATCAATCCGTCAGATGATGCTCGAGTCGACCCAAATTCGACAAACTGGCACGGGTGGACACCACTATAAGAAATGTTCTCGAAGTCTCAGCGATTTATTTAACTGGCATAAAGTGACCAAACTGTTCATTTCCTCGCGTTTTCGGTGGTAACATACTGAGGGCCATTCGATCCTCCACGGATGCTTCACTGCCGCCTGAATCAGCCTTGCACAGCCCCATGTGACGGTAGATGTCCGTCTAGAGCGGGGTTCAAGCGCACTTATTAGAAATCGTCAAAGCACCTCGATCCTACTGACGTGACCAGTCCACTTTAACTAGACGTCCGCCCGGCGAGCTCAGATAGGCAAGTAGAATAATGCTAAAAAGACTCACTTCCTCCTATGTATCATCCTCCCTCTTACACACAAATCTCTCGATATGTTCGTCGAAACATCTATCAACACGCTCCCACTTGAGCTCTTATCGGCCATCTTCACACACGTACGCGACTCGAAAAATGGACAAGAGTCAATCGGACAATGCCGTCTGGTCTCGCGACGATTCCGGGAGCATGCCTCGGTATTATTAATCAATGAGATCACCGTCCGTCTAAGCTCAGAGTCGTTTACCGACCTGGAGACCATCGCCTCTCATCCTGTCTTCAGCAAGGGCGTGAAGAGAGTCAACATCAATGCGTCCTTCTACGAGGCTGAACTGGCGCAAAATAAGCAGATGTACATGGCGGAGGCTCGATCGCGGCTTTTACGACACTGGGAGACCATGGAACGCATGAGACAGTATAGGAAACGGTACGAAGTCTCGGATGAGTTATTTAATTGGCTGGGAGAGATTGCCTGGGGAGGAAGCTCGGATCTCCAGCAATTGATAGGAGGGGATGCTCTGGAAACGGCACCTACACCTATCCAGATATTGTTTCTTCGAATGTACGACATGTACGTGGCAAGATTTGATGATCAGGAGACTCTGCGGAAGGATAATGCACATATCGGGCGCCTTGCCAATGCCCTGTCTTCTTTACCAGGCCTCATGTCGCTGAACTTGGATGATACGCACGGTCAGAGAATTTTATCCAAAACGGCGCAACTTGGGAATGGCAATCTTGCACCTGAAGATTTTGAGGATACCGGATTCAATCGCGACGTATTACAACATTTCGATAATGGAATTCGCCAGTCCAGTTGGTCAGGGTCGTTCCATACAAACGGGAATCGTCGGCATAACGGTGAAGTCGAAGCTTCGACAACTCCACCAGTGGAGATGCTTGGAGAGCTTTGCTCTCAACTTGCAGAGAAAGGCATCAGACCAAAGGAGTTCAAAATCTCGCTGAAACCTCCCCCGGATATGCGAGTGTTGACGATAACGTCCGTGCAGCAGGAGCGCATGGAACAACTTGTCTCTCATGCTTCCAGTCTGACATTTCATTTCGATTTCTTCGCTCGTCCGCACAGTCTCCAAGAGAATCCAAGACACGAGATGCTTGCTCTCTGCTCCATCACCAAGCCCTTCTTCAGCGCACCACATCTCCAGACCCTGGAGATCTACTTCAAAGAATATCCCAGAAATATCATAAACGACTCAGAGCCCACCGTCTCTCTCAATGAGATCCTCCCATTAGACATGACCTGGCCACAACTGGAAACTCTACGTCTGAAGTACCAACCCATGACGATTGACGAGCTGAGAAGCTTAGTTAGTAGACAGCGGGAAAGCGTGCGTCATCTTGATCTCACGTCTCTCTGGCTCTTGACAGGCAGTGTCTATGATGTGTTGGAGGCGGCGCGGGGCTTTTCGAAGCTTGAAAAGGTGATCATGCCATTCCCGAAGGGATCTGGTTTTGAAGGTACTGGAACTTTAGACTTTGAGTGGCCTGCAGAAGAGATTTCGCGGTATTTGCTTCGGGAGACTGATGTTCATCCGCTTGGGGATGAGTTGGTGTACAAGAGGAGATGAGCAATGGTCAGTAGACAGCCGCACGGTGGACGGAGAGCTGGAAGCCTATACCAGTGCCTCGAATATCTCTGTCTGCTTGAATATAGTTCACAAAAGCAACCTTCTATCAGTGTTTTAGGCTCCGTCCTCACCTATACATAGCGGTACATGCGCGGTTTACCAAATCAGATGATGCCATTCTCAAACTCAAGGTTTTATTTTCAATCAAGTCGCTGCCTTCTGGACGATAGCGCGACGCGTGCTCTGTTTCGCGCCTGCGGATCAAAGCATGTACTGGCATTTTGGGCATGGCGTAGTCATAATGCCCACCATGAAGCGGGTGTCAACAGAGGTGTAATGCTATTTTTCTTACTCTGGTTTACGCGCCAGAACTCCCAGTGTGGGAAACGGTCGATGCGCTTGGGTATTTAAACGGAACGGTCTGCCTTGGCGAACAATTTTCATCTGTATTCGGTGTTCCTCGCTATCCTTCGCCATCACATGCCTTTTAGCCAGCACTGAGCGGCGGGAAGAAGTGCCCTGCTTGACGTTACTGCCATTGCACGACATCGGCTCTTCTTGTTGCGTTGCATTCTCTCGATTGCATACCCTGTACCAGAGCGAGAGGCACGGAGGAATGATAACCTTAAGGATTGAGAACAGCGATACAAATAGCATCGGGATAGTAAAGAAAGTAGTCAGATACGTATTGTTATTTATAAAGGATAGTAAGAATAATTTCTACGCCAAGGAGAGCAAATAAAACGTACCACGAGTAAGCTGTATGAAGCATTGGAGCAAAAGTGGTAGTTAAGAAGGTGCTTTTTAGCTGTAAATTGGTTTTGAGCTTGCTATGAATTAAAGCTGCAGTTGAGAGTTATAGAAGCCTTAGTCAGGCTCTATAGCTGCCCGGTGCTGTACTGTAGCTGTCCGCTATTTTGGCTGCTGTTAGCGCTGTAGCCGATGGGCTATAGCGTCCTACTTCGATAGGATTTAGCGAACTTAGCAGGTTGGTGGTGGTGCAAACCCAGTGGAGTCATAGTGGGTAGCCCAGGTAGCCCGTGGTCCCTTCCCAATTACAGTATGTTTAGGTAATATTTAGGCCTCAGGTTTCAGAACAACAGGGCATTGTTCAAATCCCGTTGCAGCAGCACGTCTTTGTATCCCACGCAACACACAAACATGCGACAAATGTTCCCATCTCTGTGTTGTGAATAGCAACCTATGCTCCTACTAGCGGTACCTCCTTTGAGGGCACCTGTCTATGCCATGCGACAGCTTGCGACACTGCTGCCTGGAGGTCAGCAGGCCGGCCATTTGATCGCACGTCAGTTGGCCGTGGTATCGCTCGGATCTGTTACACAAAATGCGTGTTCCTAGCTACTACTCAAGACTTTAGGCTCCAAGCGACAGTCTGCCATTAGTCCTAATAGGCATTGCGCATCATCATTCCTCCTCGACCGCACGTGCGACGCGCCCACCGATTGCTATACATCACTGCATCCGTCCATGACCTCACGAATACACATGTCCCTCACCGATTCAACAGTCGCATTTCATGATATCAATTCCGTCATCTCCAGTGCTTGATCTGTTTGACGCGACAGCCGCCGTACATACCACACGTATACTTCCCAGCGAAGCCTGCTCTATGATGCCCATTGACCGACTGGCATAATGCCTACATCGCGAACCTCCCACTACAAGCCTTTCCAATGCGATACAATACCACTTGGTGCGTTGCCAAGTATTCCTCGAATGTGATAGTACGTGTGTTGCCGTGTCTGATGTGAATCATGTCTTCAATATGTCCTAGCAATAAATGCGGCCACCTTGATCGCGTGTCTTGCTGAACTGTAGCACATCCCCACCGCACTCTATTGCTCCCGTAGAAACACCTTGCTTCCACATTACACACAACGTATACGTGACACGGACGATATCACAATTACGGGGATATCAGATAACGAAGAACATGGCTTACCTGTCTACCTACCTGGCTTCATAACCTCTTTCAATACATGACATTCTTTTCCATTTGCCACGAACGCGACGAAAGCGCACTACATCTACACTTGCCTTGATTGAACAGCGCTGTAGTCCTGTTCTCCGGAGCAGCTGTACTACTTACTGGTCGATCTGTATCTCGTAGTTGTCGGCCAATCTGACCTTGTAATCCACTAGATCCGGCGGCTGTTCTTGGAGGGGCTCCCACGACCACTTGTCAGAATACCACTCGCAAAACCATTCTTCGGTTGACAGATACCGTGTTTGGTTTACTATGGCGCCGACATCCAATGCGATTCCCGCATTGAAGTCACTGCGCAGGATGGGCGAGGTTTCGTTCGCCAGACTCTCGATCACATCGGTGTCTTCACATGTCATCATAAACCTCATGTGGAGAGGCTCAGCAATTGTCAAGTTGCTTCCTTCGAGATTGAAAGCATCTCTCTGATCGAGGTATTTCAATGCCCGACTCCAAGCGATCTCCTTCTGAAGCCGCTGCTGACAAAAATTTGTAAAGTAGTCCCTATAAGGACCAGCTTCCAGGATGAGTGTGTATGACTCGGCGGGAATGCCGACACGTGTCACGGCAAGTGCGTCTGTCAGCCATTGTAGTATAGGAGGCACAAGCTTGTCGGCCGTCAGTACGAATGTACTGGGCCACTCGTCTGGATCTAGGAAGTGACCTGCCACATCCCCAGCGTTGTCGAATGCTCCATACATGCAGCGCATCATGTCAACACGGCGTTCGACTCGCAATAGAGGATTCTCCCGAAAGAAGGGGGCTAGACCCTGAGCATGAGTCGATGGGACGTTGACTGATGGTGAGTCTTCATGCAGGATAAGAGTCCGAATGTTGAGGCGATGTTGGGGGGGAATGCGCGTCTCGAGGAACCGGATGGCGTTGGCGGCAGCTGAGAATCGGATCTTCTGTCGACAGCGAATACCAGAGGTCCCATCATCATCGGGAGGACCATACCACATATCCGGCACATTCCACATAGCGTCGAGTGCCAACAGCCCTGTCGCATGTTGGACTTGAGACCGCGAAGGAATTGCCCAGTGGTCAAAGCGCATGTTCAAGAACTCTTGGGCTGAATGACGACCGTCCCATTCCGGGAATACCTTGTATACCTGGTGGCGAAACTTGGCCGGTTCGTGTGCAGCCAATAGTTTCAGGGCCTGCGAAAAGAAGCGTTCAACTCCCCAAACGCTTCTGGACAGATCTTTCCAGTCCCTATCCACATGGCGAGGTAGGTTGGAAAAGCCGATATAATGTCCTGGGTTGTTGCACGGAGGGCGGAAGTTGGTATAAATATGGTCTTCCCAGAATTCGGACTCCCTGAGAAACGCTTCTGCTGAGACACAAAAGGTGTCCTCCATCTGATTCTTGAGGCAGACTTTTGCAGCAATAGCCATGGAGTTGCCATTGTATTTTCGAGAATACGACCATGCCTGATATGCTCGGTCTTCGGGTGAGTCATCGTAACGTCGTTCCCCTTCTTCAATGTCAAATTCACGGATCCTCAAAGCATTGTAGAGGTGCGAGTTGAAGTTTGGGTATTCTAAAGCAAGCTCAGCGCGCATCTCGGGCGTCAAGACGTGTGCAAGTTGTAGCAAAAAGTCTGCCTGGAGATGGTGGTACAGACCAGACACCATATTGAAGCATCCCGCCAGGTTATTCAAGTCGCGGCGATAGAGGGTAGTGAACTTGATGCTGTTCAGCAACAGAGGGAGGTGTATAGCTTCGTTTGCGACGGTACGACAAGTGTAGAGGAGGGCGAGATCGATCGGGCGATTGTCGGCGGCGGTCTTGAGGCAGTCGGAGTCGGCATCGTAAGCATATCCGCCGACACAGAAATAGAGATGGTAGATCTGATCTCGCAGCTCGGCGGGGAGGCTGAGAAAGTTAGCTTTGACTGCCATGATGGATGGATAGAATGGTGGTGGGGATGGTGATGGTGATGAAGATGGTGAAGTAGGAGCCAAGTTCTCAGGAGGGGTAGATGTGGTTTATTATAGGGCAGCCCAGTAGATTAAAGTTCTTGAGGGCTGGTGCCTGGGCAATTAAGCCCTGGAGTCGTACCAACAGCACATTGTTATAGTGCGGTCAGCCACTGGAAGGTTCCACGTTAGAGCAGCGAGTCGCCTATAACAACCTGCCACGGACTGCATGAGCAACAATGAATTCATGACACGAATGTTTGTTTTTAAACCAAACTTACACAAAACGAAATGGAGAAAAAGATTCTTTTTATGGAATTTTTTTCACATGCTACATCGGTACCTAATACCTCAATTCTTCCCCAGTATTTCCTATACCAGAACCCCCAAATCCTCTTCCATCAGGTACGTTCTCTAGCTAAACAGGTAGGGAAAAAATTCGGACATTAGAGAGGGAAATCGTCTCACGAAAGCAAAGCCCGGGGGCTCATACCCCTCCTAGATAGAGGCATCAAGTGCCCCAAAACCCTTTGGCGAAGAGGCTTCTCAACACTGGGTCAAGTAGCCCCCGGCGATCTCGTTCATAGGGGCGTGTGGACTGCCCGGTCGGACCCCTCGAATTCAAAAGCCCAGGTTGTCGGTCCCCGATCATGGCGCTACATACCTTGATTCGGTAGCGCCCACCTATCAATCTACTGCACTACCGGGATCTTCCGCTGTCACTTTGCTTTGGGTTATTTCCTAACCTTCGACATCAACGCCGTCTAACGGACGGCCAGCAACGTCTCTTGACATTGGTGGAAGACCAATGACAAGCGCTCCATCTTCGGCTCTGCCTCATTCTCAGGAAGTTCCACTCATGTCGTCCAACATCCGTGAAGTAAGCCCATCGAAGAGACCCAGGACCGACGACGATGGAAACCACTATTCCCACGTGGGGAAACTGTATGATTGCAAAGGACATGCTTGATGCTGTGAAGGTGTTTACTTTCGCTTTCGAGGATGAGAGTTCCCGCGGTGTGCAAATTCGTCTTTTGATGTAATTCTGTTCGCAGGCTTGAGTATTGGACTGGATATTGGCTAATGTTCGCTGGGATGATGGTAGTTGACTTTCAGCAAGCCCACGATTAGTTTTCTTGTGTATTGCCTTTTGTATTGCCTCTTTGGTGAGATCTACACATTGCTATTGGCTTCCATTCGTTCTGTAGTTTAGTTAATTTAAGTACACGAGGCAGTTCTGCTACAAATTTGATAATTACTCTAACAAACTATCACTGATGTCACAGCTGAATCCACAGTCACTCACATTCTGGCAGGAACAAGAACTGTTGAGATACTCCCACGCGACTCAACAGCAATCGTGGTACCAGCACTAAGACCTTTCCTCATATCTATCTCCGCCTTGACCACCGTAACATACTATCACTCCCTTCATATGTTAGTTGATGAACATCAATCAGTCTTTGAACTTGACTTGGGGTCGTTCTGAATGAGAGTGACACAAGGTCATCTCTAGAGTAACCTTGCTGGGCACAAACAACAGATTACGTGCAGTAGGAACAAGGTGATGGATCTGTTGTAGATACAGCCAGTAATTTGAATTTACTCCATGCAACAAGTTAGGATAATCTTGACAAGGCTGCGCACCTGTGAGAATTCCTGTCATGCCATGGACCGCTCAGCCAACACCAACGTGGCATGCTTGTTTAATTCCAACCTCTGATGTTAGCTTGACATGCGAGAGCATGGGATTTCAGTAATTTACGTCGATTGAGACTTCAGAAAGAGTCTTGTCATCTGTAAATCCTTCGTCACATGCAAAGATGCGAGCCGTTGGTCGTTGAACACGAATACATCAACTCCTCTGTCGATCAAAAGCTTGACATTCCAATGCAGCCGTGATAGGCGGCGTAGTGCAAACGAGTTGACCGGTCGTTTGTAGTGACCCCAGCGTTAACACCTGAGTGAAGAAGTCTTTCGAGCGTTCTATGTTTCTCATGGAGTTTCTTGTTGAGAATTCCGTTTGACACTGATCAAGTATCGAGCCGCACATCATCTGGAGAGGTTGTGTGCTCCGTACAATGCCTGACTATCACATATCTTATCTGAGGCTCGTCACAGTAGTCTAGAAGGGTAAAATGAAAGTGATGTGGTAATCGTATTGATGGATTCTGCTGCTGAGGTGCTTTGAGTATGTAGGTGTGTACACTCATCCAATCCACCAATCACAAAGGTACAGCCAGGGACAAGCTGGGTGATCCAAGCCAAGAGCCTTGAGTATGTCTCTCGTGACGAAACGAGATCTGCATCGTCATCCCAGGGATGATGAGTACACTCGAAAGCGCCTTGGTGTTGATAGACGAGTTGAGAAATCTAAGTTCGTACGGCAACGACTGGATCATTGCGTCCTCTCGATTCAGATGTGATAAAGAAATACCCGACTGGTGTGTCGAGGGTGTTTAGAAGATGTTCTACCACACTGGCGCAAAGAATGGTCTTGCCAAAGCCAGCAGGTTCATTGATCCAGAGAGCTTTGAGGCCGTTGGCAAACTCTGGACTTAGCCATTTCTTGAATACTTCGCGCTCGTGTATCCATCCGCATGTTCCATTTTGCTTCTTCTGCAGAGAGTCATGATAATGTTGACCAGTACGACCGTGGCCGATCCACAAGAGGACTTGCTTGCGTATTTCGGCTGTGATATGTTAGCATCTCCCTGTCCAGAGGACTGACAGTAGTTTACCTCTAGCTTCTTTCTCCATGCGACGGAGGATAGCCTGAAGCTCCGCCATCGACTGGTCGTTCTTGGCTGTCTCTATGGCACGTCCGTCAGATGCGTCTACTGGTACCAGCTGTCGGAGCCGCTGTACAAGTATCTCAAACAGCTCCACCTGCTCCTCTTACTTCTTGTCGCCAAATGCCCACCTCAGTCTCTGTCGCTTCTGGCCGCGGATACTCGGACTAGCCTTGGTTGGTGGATGAGACGTGCCCGTTTTCACGCTAAAATCACATATTGTTTTGATAATCGTCAGGACCTCTTTGACAGCAATTTCTATATCAGGCTGGTCCAATTCCGGGCTATGTTTCTGCGACAGAGTGCCATTCTCGAAGCCTACACGGGCTCCCCACTGCTCTAAAACGATCTTCGCAGCCTGGAATCGAGTTCCCAGGATATGCGAGTCAGGACCGAATGAGCGATATGGTTGAACCCTGTCTGCAGCTTCTAGACAGGTGCTAAAGAGACCGGCTATGCCTATTATGAGACCGGCGACTTCCATGTCTGGGTCATTGTGATGAATGATCAAAGTTAGAATGTTACGAGGTGACGGGAGTCTGATGATCTGATCGAGGGCTTGTGTAACCTTGAAGCAAAGCCACGTAAGCTGCATGATGAGTTCATTTACGCTGCTTTGAGAGGGATTGCTACCATTAAGACAGCTGCATTTTCCATTTAATCTGGACCAAGAAGTGATGAGAACAAGTGAGATCAATTATATCCGAAACTCCTAAATCGAACAATGCTAAGTACTATGAAATCCCAACGCCATTACATTCATTAATGCATATTAATGTCCCATCTAATCATTCTGTATCTCCTCATATTATTTCCATACTTCAGCTTAAGGGCTGCCAGTAGTAGGCTCCTCATTCTGATCAGTGGTCTTCTCCTCAGCTGGGTTGTTGGTAGAGTCACTACCAGAGGTAGTACGCTCGTCATTGCCAAAAGTAGCAGACTGAGTAGGCTTATTGTTGCTGGCAGGTTGGGTGTGCTCATCGTTACCAGCAGACTCAGTTGGGTCGGTGGCAGCAGCTTGCGTGGGCTCGTTACTAACAGGAGCTGGTTCAGTAGAACCATTGTCGGTAGGCTCAGTAGCAGAAGGCTCCTCATCAGCTGTGGCGGTAGGTCCGTCAGGCTTAACGACAGTAGCAAGAGTTGTGGGCGTAGACTCCTCAGTGCCAGCAGCGGAGGAGGGCTCGTCAGTCTTGGCTGTGGGCTCGGTGGGCTCATCACCAGTAGCTGTAGGTTCCTCGGCGTCGGTTGCAGTGGTAGCAGGCTTAACCATAGTGACCAGAGTTGTAGGGGTGCTGGCAGGAACAGTGGGCTCGTCAGCAGGCTTGGTAGAATCGCTTCCGGCAGGCTCGGTACCAGAAGGTTCACCAGCAGGCTCAGCGGCAGTGGGCTGATCAACAGGCTCGACTGCGGTGGACTCGTTATCAGCAGGCTCGTCAGTGGCAGTAGGATCACTGGAAGGCTCCGCCGTGGTAGTCTCCTTGGTTTCAACATCCGTGTTAGTGGGCAGATTGACGATCTTGGTGTTGGGTTCCTCGAAAGTAGCTGTTGGCTCGGAGGTACCTGTAGGCTCACTTGGGGAGTCGACATCAGTGGCAGTGGGCTCGTCATTGACCGCAGTGTTGCTGGACTCGCCAGCAGGTTGAGTAGTCTCACCAGCAGACCCGGTGGCAGTAGGCTGGTCAACAGGCTCGACTGCAGTAGACTCATCAGCAGACTCAGTAGCAGTAGGATCATCAACCGCTGTATTGCTGGGCTCTGGAGCCGCACCAGTAGCAAAGGGCTTGCCAGTAGGCTCATCGACAGCTGTGTTAGTGGGTTCATCATCTGCAGTGTTGCTGGGCTCTGGACCAGGTCCAGTAGCAGACGGCTCGTCAATGGGCTCGTCAACTGCAGTGTTGGATGGTTCGCTAGCGGGCTCGGTAGCAGCAGGTCCGGTAGATTCGCTATCAGCCGGCTTAGTAGCAGTAGGTTCATCGACGACAGTGTTGCTGGGCTCCCCAGAGGGTTCAGTGGCAGTAGGCTCATCGACAGCCGTGCTGGTGGGTTCGTCAACTGCAGTGTTGCTAGGCTCACCAGCAGGCTCGGTGATAGCCGGCTCGGTAGGCTCATCAACAGCTGTATTGGTAGGCTCATCAACTGCAGTCCCGGTGGGCTCATCAACAATCTTAGTGTTGGGCTCCTGGAATGTGGCCGTAGGCTCAGAGTCGGTGGGCTCATCCACAGACTTGGTCTTCTCAGGTTCATTGGCAGACGGCTCACCAGTAGGCTCGGTGGCTGCAGGCTCGGTAGACTCATCAATAGCTGTGTTGGTGGCTTCACCACTAGGCTCATCAACGACGGTATTGCTTGGTTCTGGAGCAGGTTCAGTAGCAGAAGGCTCGCCTGTAGGCTCGTCAATAGCCGTGTTGGTAGGCTCATCAACTGCAGTTTCGGTGGGCTCATTGACAATCTTAGTGTTGGGTTCCACGAAAGTGGCTGTAGGCTCAGAGTCGGTAGGCTCATCTACAGGCTTGGTCTCCTCAGGTTCAGTGGCCTTGGAAGTGACAGACTCCTCATCAGCGGTAGCCGTAGGTTCAGGAGCGGCAGTAGGCTCATCATCACCAGCATCAGATGTAACAGTGGACTCAGTATCGACGGGCTTGGAGGCAGTGGGCTCGCTGTCGGTAGCTGAGGTAGTCTCATCGTCTACTGTTCCAGAGGTGTTGGTAGGCTCGTCGTCAACAGAAGTCTCAGTGGGTTTGTCATCAACTTCAGTGGCTGTGGACTCATGTTCAACCTCAGAGGTAGAGTCGGTGGGCTCGTCAACAGCTGTGTTGGTCGGCTCGCCAGCAGGCTTAGTAGGTTCACCGGTAGGTTCAGTGGCAGAGTCGGTGGACTCATCAATGGCTGTGTTGGTAGGCTCATCATCAGAGTTAGTAGCAGTGGGCTCATCAACAATCTTAGTGTTGGGCTCCACGAAGGTGGCTGTAGACTGAGGAGCAACGGTGGGCTCATCATCTCCAGCGTCAGTTGTAGCAGTAGGCTCATCGACAGGCTCGACAGCAGTCGACTTATCATCAGAGTCAGTGGCAGTAGGCTCCTCAGAGTCGGTACCAGTGGGCTCATCAGAGTTGGTCTCAGTAGGCTCCTCATCAGAATCAGTTGCCGTAGGCTCATCCGAGTCTGTTTCAGTAGGGTCGACATCAGAACCGGTCTCAGTGGGCTCGCCATCAGAGTCAGTGGCAGTTGGCTCGTCATCGTCATCAGTCCCAGTAGCAGTAGGCTCATTAGAAACAACCCTGGTGTTGGGTTCCTCAAAGACCTCAGAAGCGGAAGACTCCTTGGTAGGTTCATCATCAGCAGTGTTGGTGGGCTGGTTGACAGGCTTCTCAGAGGAAGTCTCCTCGTCGTCTTGCCCGGGAGTGCCAGTAGGCTCGCCATTACCTTCCGTAGCGATGTCGGTAGGCTTATCACCATCCTTGGCAGTAGATGAAGACTCATCATCATCAGTAGAAGTCTCAGTTGGCCCCCCGCTAGAGCCAGTAGCAGTAGACTCATCAGAGTCGGTTGCCGTTGACTTGTCGTCAAAGTCTGTGGCAGTGGGCTCATCATCAGAGTCGGTAGCAGTGGGGTTGTTGGCAGGCTCGACAGCAGTTGACTTATCATCGGAACCAGTAGCTGCAGGCTCCTTAGTCTTCTCATCATCATCATTATCGTCGTCAGGCTTGGAAGTAGCAGCAGGCCCAGTACCAGGCTTGATACTGGACTCGATGTCATCACCACCCTTGGGGGACTCTACAGCAGGGGCCGATGCAGTCGTAGTGGTCTTAGCATCCTCGACCTTGGAAGTAGTGGTCTGTTCAGCTGGCTTGGGAGTGGTAGTTGAAGCAGACGTGGTGGATGTATTCAACGTAGTAGAAGGCTTGGTGGATGTGATCAAGGTAGTGGAGGGCTTGGTAGATGTGGTTGAGGGAGTGGTAGTGGTCTTCTGAGATGAAGGTGTAGTTGTGGAAGTAGGCTTCGATGATGTGGTTGGAGTAGTGGAAGACGGGGTGGAAGTTGTAGCAGGCTTAGACGAGGTAGTTGGGGTAGAAGTTGTCTTCTGAGACGATGGTGTGGAGGTCGTAGCAGGCTTAGACGAGGTCGTTGGGGTGGAAGTCGTCTTGGTGGATGAAGGACTGGAAGTGGTATCAGCCTTAGGAGTAGTAGTGTTCGCTTTGCCTGGAGCACTGCTTGTAGAACCGGTAGGCTTCTGGGAGGTAGGCGTAGTGGTGGTGGTAGGCTTGGAGGTAGTATTAAGGGTAGTACCAGTCTTCCCAGTACCAGTAGCTGTGCCAGTACCGGTCTTGCCAGTAGCTGTTGTACCAGTAGCAGTCTTGCCTGTGCCAGTAGCAGTCTTGCCTGTTCCAGTTGCGGTTGTGCTAGTACCGGTTTTGTCAGTGCCAGTAGCAGTCTTGCCT